ACAACAATTGAAAAAGAATGATGGCCGACAACAGCAACAATTAGAAAAGAATGATGGCCGACATCAGTAACAATGCAACAACAATTAAAAAGAATGATGGCCGACAACAGCAACAATTAGAAAAGAATGATGGCCGACAACTGCAACAATTAAAAAAGAATGATGGCCGACAACAGCAACAATTAGAAAAGAATGATGGCCGACACTACGTCATAGTATGGGAATATATGGGAATTTTAGAGATGTAGGGTACAGTGTACAGTAGTAATAATTAAAGGAAACGAGGTGGAGATCATTTTCATAGTAAATGAGGAAAAGGCAGATAGGTGGAAAGAATATTTAGAGAACCTATATGCAGGCCATGAGTTAGGAGTTACGGGTAACAATAGAGAAAACAATAGAAAAAGGAAAGAGTGTGTACATAAGATTTGTAGATTTTGAAAAAGCTTTTGACAATGTTAAATGGGAAAAGATGTTAAATATACTCATAAATGTAGGGATGAGTTACAATATTTTTGTTTTACTTTTATTTATTTTCATGCAATACTGTTTTGTCAATACAGCTTCCATTTTATTTAAAGCTACCTCTAACTCCTCCTTGCTAGATGCTAATACTGCTATATCATCTGATGTATCATCTGATGTATCTTCGATGTATAGATTAAAAAGTAGCGGTGACAGTGTGCATCCCCTGCCTGACTCCCTTCCTAATATTTACTTCTCTACGTTGCAGCCCCAGCTCTAAAACTGCCTGTTGCTCCTTATACAAACCAAGTATCATTATTCTATCTTTGTAACTCATCCCTACATTTTTAAGTATATTTAACATCTCCCATTTAACATTCATTGTCAAAAGCTTTTTCTAAATCTACAAATCCTATGTACGCACTCTTTCCTTTTTCTATCGTTTTCTCTATTGTAACCCTTAAAGCTAGAAGCTATATTTGTTCTAAACCCAAATTGATCTTCCCGTAATAGTTCTTCCGCCCCTTTTTTCCACACTCACACAATTCTAGTTAAGATTTTTGACGCATGGAAAGTTAAGCTAATTGTTTTAAATGTGATTATATCCTTATGAGTCCATAGAAATAATGCAGTATATAATGAATTTTAAATTTATTTATTTTTACTTTAACTGTATGTTTATTTATGTTT